CCAGTCAAGTTAGTATAGCAACCCTCCAAGGATTCTGTAAAACTTGTTTTGGTGTCTGCATAAAAGAGCCAGTTGCCAATCACAAATGATTTGGCCAGTCACAAGTCCAATCTTAAGTCAGAGTGTGAAGTCATATGAAACAGCTCCCACAAGGAAGTCTGTTTGGAAGGTACCATCGGTGGCTGGCCCTATGGTGCAAACTTTCTTTCTGTTTCTTTTTTGAGAGTTTTAGTAGAATGGAGATGTGGCAATCACACAGGGTCTCCGGACATTTGACGGTCTATTGATCCCTGTGCCACCACTGTACTTGCTTCCCCGCTGCCACCAATCCGTTACTCTCAGGTACACACTGAGTCCAGACAGTTGTTAAAATTAAACCAAATAAACAAGTTTATTTTATAAGCATTAACAAGTTTATGGTTCCTCAGATAATTTTCTTGTCAGTTTCTTAACCTTAGTTTCTTTACCAGCCTATACCTTCCTAATACCTTCTGACTGATTATCACAACTGTCTCTTAACAGATTCTCTCACTCTCTCACATCAGACTAGCCCAACCCACCGACTTATCCTCCCTCTCTCTTCTCTAACTCCAGACTGACTTCTTAACAACTCTAACTTTAACTCTAACTGCTCCCCTTGGGTTCCTATAGGTTAGTCATTTTACAATTAGTTAACCCTTTCCTTATGAACCCAGTATGATGTCACACACCTAGGAGGGCAAACGCCACAGGAGAAGATTCACAAATTTATCTACAGCTTTTATGCAGTTCACACAGATTTGTTTGTAGTGAGTCTTTCTCAGCCAGTTGCTACTTCTTCAGTTAAGTTTTCTGTCACCAGCACAGCAGAAACAATCAGAAGAGGGGAAGGCACCATTTTTATGTTGTATAATATATGCTTTTATTTTCTGCTGGAACACACTCTGTGATTCTTTTATAATGAAGAACAGTCAAAGCATTTAGTAAGTAAATCAGTAAGTAACAAAATACACCAACTTTCCCCTCTCTCTAGCACCAGTAGACATTTCAGGAACAAAGGGCAGAGTCTGGTAATGTTCTGATACTATCTGCTTCTTTTCAGATTGGAGACAGGATTTACTGCTAGTCAAGCCAAGCCACGGGGTAGAGGAGGTTGTACCAGACTATTTCTGTCTGCAAATTTTATCCAAGAACATTACTCCTGTTCTGGGTTGGCTTTATCTCCAGCTTCAGTTGCCGTCACCTCTTGCACATGTGGCAATTCAAGTTCAATGAGTTATGATGGTGACCATAGGAGGTCTAGCAATATGGTTGCCAAGGCTGCCAGTCTGTTCATATATCTATTAGCTACAATAGTTCTGATTTGGCACTCTAAAGATACGAATATGCTGATGACCCAAAATGGAACATATTTCTGCATCCTTACCAACATCAGGCTTCAAACCAAATCAGTTGACCCCAGGTTGCCTTGCATTGAGAACATCCTGGGAGTGAATACCTGAGATGGGACTTATATGCAAAACAGAGGGAGACCACCAGAGATGAAATTAGGCCAAAGCTGATGCTTTTGCCCCAAAGGAACAATTTCTCTTTGCTAATGACAGCTGCAGCACTGATGGAAAATTCCCCGTTCCTATGTTTTCAGAGTCCGCTCACTAGACTACATGTAGATCTTCTTTTTCTTCCTCCTCCTCTCCTTCCTCATCCTCTTGATTAGCTTTCCTTTAACCTTCCAATCTGACTGTGCCTGCAGGATCGTGATGTTTTCATCAATTATATATTTTCATTTCATACTGGTAATCAATACTACTTCAGAATACTAATGTCATACAATATCTTTGTCTCGACTCCTAAATGAATTATAGCTAAATAATGCATTTTCAAGCAAGAGAACAAATGTACATTCTCCCCCCGAGCGCACAAAGAAACATGCAAAGAGAAATCACTGAACAATAAGGCATTGATTTTTCTGGTTCCAAAACTTTCATCTTGCTCAAAATAGGTAAAGACAACACACTACTGCAGGTAGTATAAATCAGAGAAATGATGTAGTGTATTATCCTCTTTCAAAAGCTGGCAAAAAACGCAGAGAGGGGAAAACTCCAATAATGTCTCTTGTTTCTTCAGCACCAAAGTCTGCAGTAGCATTTGAAAAAGAAGGCAACAAATAAAAAAGGAGGCAGAAAATGGAAAGACCCAAAGCTTACAGATTGTTTTGGGGTTGTTGTTTTTAAAGGAGCTGCTCATTACAATTCTGTTACATTGTGGGAATATTACAAAAGCAAGAACATTGCTTTTGTAACAGTGCCCAAAGTGACACTACATTGAGACTACTCACCCAGTGCAATAGGACTGTGCAACTAGCTTCACACTGAGTGGTGTTCAAGGTGCAAAGTCTAGGCATTTGACAAGGAAGCATAGGTAGCACACTGTTACTATCATGCAAACATAATTTCAATCTGTTTTAAGCAATCTGGTGCAGTATATCACTACACCTTGAATTAATTGTTGTATATATGGGAGTATTTCAATTTGGGGTTGATGCCTGTTGAATCAACAAACAAAAATAGGATGATAATAGATAGAAATGTTAGGATATTTCCGTTCCACCTTAAAAGGGAACAGGCTTTGTGAGTCACAGAGTCTGCGTATTTCCTGTTCACAGGATGTTTCTGTTGTGTCTTTGCTTTTGTTTCTCTCTCTGTGCCAGAGACACTGAAGCAGGCAGTCATGTTTTCTTTGTTCTGATCAACGCTGAATAAACTTGTAAATAATGCTCTCCTGCGTGCATCTTTCGCTGTGCATTATCTGCTGATAGAGCGTGCATCGGCTCTGGAATGTGTCAGGCTATTTCTGGAGCTCGTGTCGTTAATTGCTGATACTGCGTGTCTACGGGAGATCGATGGACGTCCGGAGGCGGCTTGGGGGGCATGATGGACTTTGTCTCCCTGGCAGTATCCCAACAAGAAATGTATGAGTGCAGATCTGTGAAAATATTCTCGCATATATTTTTTGCCAAAAGGATCGCCCTCACTCACAATTATTTCAATGCTCCAGGTAAGTGTTCTGTGTGTTACCTTCTGGAACCGATATGGAGGGAGCCAAGTAGCTCAGTGAGAGAGCACATACTTTGCTTGCAAAGGTTCCAGGTTCAATTTCTGACATCTCCGGGTAGGCTGGGGAATACTCATCATGGAAACTTTGGAAAGTCAGTGCTAGACAGTGTGGGCCAGGGATAGTTTGCATGGGCATCTTATGGATGTTGCTGAACTGCAATTACCACCACTCCTGACCATTGGCCATACTGGCTGGGGCTGATGGGAGCTGGACTCCAACAGAAACTCTGGAGGGTACCACACTGGATACTCCAACATAGACAATACTTACATTGACCATTAGTATAAGGCAGGGATGGGGAATCTGTGGGCCTTCAAATATTGTCCATTCCAGCCACTATGGCTAATACTCTTGTATGATGGGAGTTGGTGTCAACAATTAGAGAGTCACGCTGCTTCCCCATTCCTGGTATAAGGCATTTTCCCGTGTTCCATCCATACTGACAAACAGAATAGTCAAACAGAAGCAAAGGATGTGGAACATCAAATGAGCACTGTACCTTTCAGAGTCTTGTGGTACTCTGACTTTAGCATAAGGGGAGCTTGCATGTGGAATACATTGGCTTTCAGGGTTTATTTTGGGGGGGAGTGGAGGTTGGGAGGCAGTAGGAGTTACTGCAATTACCCATTATGTTTTTGCAAAAATAGGTATTTATAAGAGACTATCCTGCTCTCTTGCCCTCTAAAATTTTCTCGCCATCCTTAATTGTAGGCAGATGCAACCCTATGCATATCTGTTCAGAAGCAATCTGAGCAGGACAAGACTTAGACTTGGGTAGGTGTGTTGCAGCCAGAAAATGTTTCTATAGATATGGTAAAAATCATGCGTATATCCAGACATATGCTTAGTGGTATCTTCTAGAACAGGGATAGGAAACATATATGGCCATGGCTGCCAAGATTTTGTACCTTGGACTGTGCAACACCATGGAGCTGCCATATGGAAACTCACCTGCAGGCCAATTGTTCTGAGAAAAAGAAGGAATGAAAGCTTTTCTGAGAGAAAGACCTTGGCAGGCTCAGCGTAGCACATAAGTTGTGTGTTGATTACCTCTCTTCTACTTCAATATGCTTTTCTTTATGAAAACCATACTGACGGTTTTTAGCACAGCCACAGAACGCTTGGGTTTGATTCCTCTTAACACATGCATCTCGTTTTCACTTTGGAAACACACACACACACACACACACACACACACACACCTGCTCCCAAATCAGTATTTTGACAGCGATGGTGTGTTTGCATAAATTTATTCTGCAATCTTATGGAAACAGTGTCTTAAAACAGAAGTACAGTTGAGATTAATTTTCCTGTGGGCTTTCACTAAAATACGATTATGCAGTCAATATGCAGTAAAAGTACAGATGAACAGCTTACCATTATTACATCAAGAAAAGAATATGGGCTCTTCAAAGCAGGACTATTCATTTATTCTTTAGTCTTCTGACACATTCGTGCTGTCCCTTATGTGCCTCTTGTCTTCAATTTGCTTGTAGGCCACAAAAGAAATGATGGCCACAAGGTGCCTTCAGATTCTTAAGGAATTGTCTGGGGTTTACAACTCAGCCTTCTTTTCATATGGACCCAATACTTCCCCAGGATATGTGCAAAACTGATGATCCAATAAGAGTCCTTAGGAATTCACTTAGAAATTTAACTGGATCTTTGGTAGCTAACAACTTGATTCAGGAGTTGTTGAAATGCACCTGGGGTGAAAGACTAGCTAATGTTTGCATAGATTTCCAAGACTTAGTTTTGGAAGTAGGAGATTACATTTAATAGGACTTAGGCACATGAGTGAAATCTGGACAGGTATCCCATAAGTACTAATTTATAATCCTTTAACTGTAATGGTGGAATCATACAAGGGGAGGGGATTTTGTAGGCCAGGTGTTGGGAACCTTTGGCCTTCCAGATGTTGCCAAACTACAACTCCCATCAGCCCCAGCAAGCATGGCCAATGGCTAAGGTAAATGGGAGTTGTAGTTTGGCAACATCTGGAGGGCAGGGCCAAATGTTCCTCACATTTTGCTATCTGAGGTGAAAGACAGGAGGTTTATCCCTCCACAAGTCCATGTACAGAAGCTTTGGGGGCAGAAAGTCAACTGTCATTTGGCTTTTAATTCAACACTGACTGTGTTTTCTACTTGAGGGAAACAGTCTAGCTTCTAAGGTGGAGCACAGGCTGTGTGAAGTGGTGCCATCATCACAGAAGTCGAGGGCCCTACTCTGGGGAATGAGCAGGGGGGCTCCCAAATGTAGCAGGACTGGCTTACCACATTTTGAAGTATGTATGCTACCATCTATTAATTAAATGCAGAGATTTGAATTCCTTAAATTCACTACTGGCTATGTGGCAAACACAACTCTGTTCTCCAACCCCTTGTGCCACTCACAGTCTCTACCATCTGTTGCCTGAGGTGACTGCTTGACTCTGCCAAATGGTAGGGCCGGCCTTGCCTGAACTCTCCTTTTCCCACCTTGATCAACTATAAGCACCTGCACCCTACTGTTAACTCCCAGATATTCTTTGCACTGGACAGAGTAAGACTAGATAGGCATCAGGTGTGGTGTGCATGATTGCCCCATCTTCATGTGTAACAGAAATGGCTGGTCGTAATTCAAAACTGGCACATCAAGCCTGTGAAAGACCTGGAAACATTAGAAGCATTGCCCTCACCTGGAGTGTCCAATTTGGCAAAGAACCTACAGCAGCTAATAGCCAGTGGAAGAATTTGTTTCATATGGTAAGTAATTCACGTTGCCTACAAGGTTAACAAAGGATTATACTTTCATCTTCAGTTTAAGTGACTTAAATTCTTGAACATATAAAACTATATGGAATACAGACTTTTACTGGAGAAAAGAGATCTCATTGCTGGGGATATGTGGAGCGGCAGCTGGTTTGTTTATGGCTTTTGTTTTTTTATCTCAGAGTGTGAGGTTGCGTTTTATGAGTTAAGTGAAATGTTGGATGAGAATAACGGAGCAGAGACAGACAGACCCCCCCACCTCAGTGTGTTTAAAGTTTAAAATTCCTAATGTCATTTCCCCAGCAACTATGATGAATATTTTATATAAATTACTCATTATTGGGCAGGAGAGACACCTTAAGAGGATGGAATGTTATAAGGAACAGCTCTAGAAAACCCTGAGACATTTCTATATGCTTTAGATGGTTCCTTAAATAATTAGCAAATATAGGTTGTGTTTTTCATAATCCGTTGTGTAGCGTTTCATGCCTCGTTTACCTATAGGGCCATGCATACAATTGTTGTACACAAAGCATATATTTAGGAATACAAAGCCCCTATGTGCATAGAACTGGAGCAAGGCATCTGTTGTTGGGGTTGCTCTGTTTTGGAAATTGATGCCAGCTCTTGGGTCATTGCCCATAAATATTTGCAAGTGTTTGGCGAGCATCCGCTTGCACTTTAATGGATGCTTCCCGTCTTTGCATGATAATGGTAGCAGCACTACTTTGGATCACTGGATGAATAAATGAAAAACAGAGATAAACAAGGGTTGCTTTTCAAGTTGCTATTTAAAAAGAGATCAACCTCCCAGGGCTGTTTCTTTTCACGTCAATGGAATTGATGCTCAAGGAAGGTTTTCATTCCCTTCTCTTCCTCCCTGCAGCCACTGTGATCTCCCCCAAAGCCTCTCCAGAGTGAACTGGGAGGGTCTCCTGAACAATGTGGGATAGGATAGGACACAGAAGTGGGGGCTGCTGGGAAGGAAAGGATAGGTGACTACTTATGCATTGCCAAAAAAGGAGGAAATGCATCATAAATAAAGATGGGGCGGGGAGAGCAAACAGATTTGCATAGAATTTGCATATGCTATTATAGACATATACAATGTAAAAATAATCCAAAGAGAACTAACAACTTCATCCACAGAGGGGGGAAACTGTGATTAGGTGAACTATAGACCTGCTTTGCCTGCATTGATGGGGACCTTTCATTCCATTAACGACTCCTAAACCTACATACCCGAGAGGAAGCCCCATTGAACTCAGTGGGGCTTACTTATGAGTAATTTAAGACATGTATATGACTACTTCAGTAACACTGTACTTTGTGAATAAATCACACATGTGAACAAGGGCTCTCATGGCTCCCGAGAGGCTCAGTCCCTTCCCATAATAAAAATTTAAAAATGACAAAACAAAAAACAAAAAGCTGTTTACTTCAACCTCAAAGTAAGAAATAAAACTGATCCACACAAGAGTAATTTGTGAGAATTAAACACGCAGATTGAATGTTGAATGTCTTTTACCAAATCACATCCCTTCTTTGCTTGAATTTGCAGCTATGACAGTGTCACGTTTGGGCTAGATGTGCATAAGAAGACATTGTAAATCTTATCAAATGCCAAAAAATAACAAGCATCTTCATTTCAGCCCCCTTTTAAGATCATGCCCTGGGTCCAAACAGCCCTGTAGTGCCCTACCCCACCCCAAAAGTCCCTGCATATAAGCCTTTGCAGAAGTTGGCCTCTGACATGTTATAAGTAACTGAGTTGTTATTTGCTATCCATCTTGCACAGTGTGTGATGATACTGTCACTTTAAGTGGATTCTGCAAGTTGTTAATATGTATAAGAATAACACACAATCATAATCATGTAGCAGCCTTGTTTATTTGGACAAGGTTCAGTGGATTCTGTATGGGAAACCTGCAGATTTTTATGCAAACTAAATACAGTTTAACTATCAAAATCATTATAACTAGGCCAGATGCTATGGCTGCCTGTTTTGGCACTTTGTCCTCTCCCCTTGGCCCGAGTGTATCCATATGAGCTACGTGTTATCAGGTAAATAATTTAAGTAGAAGAATCAGTTATGAACAGAATAAACGCATTAACTGTTTTATCCAACAACCCTCCGTCCCGACTCTTGTGCTTGATATATGAAAAGCGTGGGGCGAACCCTTTTACTTCACTTTCATTTCATTAAACTCAATTGCAAAAATCTGTGCTTTAGTCTGATAAATTCCGGTAGATGTTTTCCAAAATTGAATTAGAACAATAAGCAGCTTAATGACAAAATGTTTTATTTCCTTTCTTATTTGAAAATTATAGCTGATATAACTGAATCTCATGTGATAGTTTATTAATTCTTCACTGGGCTTTCAAGACTAGGAATTGTTTTTAATCTTCTTGGTGTAAAAAGCAGTATCATTCTTTTTTTCTTCTCCCACTAACCACCACAAAAGGTTTGGAGTAGGTCATTGGACTGGGCTGATGCATTCTGATAAGAAAGTCTGTTTGGCACCAGGAATATTATTTTGTTCTTGATTAGTTGAGCCATCTGGGACACTTGTCTATACAAGTGTATAGGAATGTGGGATGGTTAAGTGATGATTTGAGTGCCATGTAATGCACATCTGACTTGCATGGTCTGAACTGGAAACATCTGGAAATTAGTGCAGTTATGATGCTCAGAACTGTATCATCTGTGTGGGAAAAGGACAGTTTAACACACTGTAAAAGAAGAAGAAGAGGGGTATCTAAAAATTCCATTATTGATGGTGGGATCAGGCGCGGTAGAATGTTGGAAATAAAGTAACATCCATGCATTCCTATAGCCATAGGTCAGTGGTAGAGCATGAGTTTTACATGCAAAATATAGGGCTAGGAGAGACTCCTGTCTGAACCCTAGACAGCTTCTGTCAATCAGTGTAGAGCAGGGAGCGTGAGTGTGTTACCTGTGGATGCCTATGGAAGGTCTTGGTAAATATTACCTCAAAAATTCACAATGCATGATAGATCTTTTGGTTTTCCTGTTCAGAGCTTCTGTCTGTAAGCAAGTGCAGCAGTGGCTGATATAGGTGCTTCCCCCTTCCAACTGATAGTGAGTTACATACCTGCACCATTTTGTGGTTCTTTTTTTCTGCTCTTTTAGACATGGTAATCATTTTGTGTTAGGCCATGTCCCCACAGTAGCTGTGACTGGCACCCATGATACTTTATCAAAATTCCAACTGTGTCTGCTGACTCCAAAAGGTTACATAGAGAAGAGAACTGAGCTAGATAGACCAACAATCTGACTTGGGAAAAGACAACTTTCTGTTCCCTTTCCAGTAAATATATTTTATGATATTTGTGCCAGTAGACAAAAGAGGTACACCTATTAATAGGATACTGATAGGTATGGTCTAGGTCACAACCCAGAGAGTATCTTTAAAAGCTCTGAAAGCTCATTTGCTTTTGTGTATTTTCATTCATCCAAGCCTTCTTTGGAATTTAACTTGTTCTCCTTCTTTTGCTGAACTCATTGCAACAATCTATTGTCAGTATCCACCTCTGCTTCCTTCACTTTTTTATGGTTGGCAAGCTTCTCCCAGACCCTGTTTTAGGAGATCCTTCCCCACCACTACCCAATTATGCTTTAATCTATTTCCAAACAAATATCTTCAGGATCTGAGGCAAGAACTCTGCATGCTTCCTACTCAAAGCAGTGATGGATGTTACATACTTAACATGTTCATTACATTTCAAAACCTTCACTAATTGAAACAGCTCCTGAAACTTTCTTCCAGGGTATAATAAATGCTAGGATTTATCTGAAGCTTTATATTTTAATCCATTCTTGGTCTCATTGACTGTTTGACCTTCCTGAGAGATGCTGCAATTGCTGCCAAGGTCAAGCAGGCAGGAGGGACTCTCACATGAGACATGCCACAAGATAAACAAAGAGAGGATTACTCTGTAAGACCAGCACATTTCTCTAAAAGGTCATATTTTATGTTGAATAAAAAGACAGCATGGGCACTGCTTGCAAGGAGCGTTCAAAGAGCACTTTAAAGCATTTTTACACTTTTAGAGGGGAAATACTTATTCACAGACATCACAAACCAGGTTCTAAATCCAAATTCCAGGAACAAGCTCATAATCTAAGATTTCAATTCCATTTGCCAGCTCTTCTTGACACATCACAGCCTTTTCCTAACTTGCCAGCATCCCAACCCTCTGAGTTTCACCTTTGTGTGTATGTCCATAAAT